GGGACTAGCAGTCTGGACTTTGAGTAAGGTGGCAGTGGCCGATGAGCAAAGGGATGAGGCCTGCAGTAATTACTCGCAGAACCACAAACTGACTCTAGCTTGTCATTTTAACTGGGTGGTGAAAGCTGCAAAATGAAGACATTAGCCCAATATTGGTGAAGCTGAAGGAAAAACTAGGGAGTTTCCCCTTCTTTTTTACCCAACAAAGTGGCAGAGGGAGAACAAGTGCCACTTTGCATGCAGAGGAGTGATGACTCATCTTTTCCTGCTTTGATTTATTCACATCATGGTAGAAATGACACACGTGTATCTCATAACCCAGGGACTGATGTAAGAGCCGGACAAGGGTTGGATGTAAAGACTGAATTCTGTTGTTTGGGGTGATTAAATATCAACCAGTCCAAAACACACCCTCATGTCCTTTGACAGAATGTCTTTTTTGACCTAAAATACACTACATAAAAGTCGAGTAGTTAAATATCTATTGAAAAATAAACTGGTGTTTTATGTGTAATAGAAGAAACTCCCAATTTGCATCAAATCCACAGAACACTACCCAACCTGTTTCACACCATCTGCCTTCTAGACTCCCAAATGATACCTCTGACACCTCCTAATTAGCCGACATTTGATGTCAATCAGTGCAAAATCTGAGAAACACATGGTAAAGACTTGTTAAGTGCTATTCACAGAGAAATAGTAGAACTTGAATCTTGAGAATGAAGTTGTTTTAAAAATATTTGTATTACTGCTGCAGTTAGCGTATCTACAGTGAGTCTGAGCTGCTGGGAGATAAACATGCAGGGATGAGTGCCAAGGTGGACCCTGGCAAGAGTCCAACACCACTCATAAGGTAGCTTATTTCCTTCTGCTCTACTCGCCATTTCATTTTCAGCTGCACTATTGTCTAAGTATGTAATGAGCAAACAGGAAAGTGGCCATTGGTTTCCTTGTCAGGTGCCCTATTACTTACAGAAGACCTAAGTGAGACCTTAGCTCTGAAAAAAAGGTTTGGACTGCAGCCCAGATGTTAGATTAACTTTCATCAAAGTCAATATCAAGCGATTATAAAACCCGACCTCCACCAACGTCCACCGACTAACAAACCTAATTAAGTGGTACCATTAGTGCCGAGGTGTTGAAATGAAATGTGGATTTGGGGAAGATGTAACAAAGTCGGTAAAGAGGAGGATCCAGACATTTCAATGAGGGATCATTTTTACTGCACACAGACATGCAGAAGAGGGAGAGAGAGTGGGAAATTAAAAAAAATTCCTCTGGCACCATGTCCCAAGAATGTCAGCAATGAGCTTACAGACCACATCCCAACACATAAGAGTCAAAGTCAGAATCACATCCAGACCTATAACGGCAGTAAAAGAAAGAGAGGGATTGCTGTGGACTGCTTGAGTGCGAGAAGGAGGCCCCTCAGACAGCCCAATGAGCATCCTTCCTTTACATCACATGACGCAATCCCACAAATGGTTCTGAAATTGTTCCATGCTGCCAAAAGTTTCTCTTTAAGGGGAAAACGGAAAACGAGAAGGTGGGAGAAAAATGTTAAAGAGGAAAGAGAGAGAGAGGGGGAGAGAGAGAGAGGAAGAGAGGAATGGGAAGACGTTGTGGAGTGGGTTGGGAGGGTGAAAACATAAGGCGATGTGTTATACTGCATACCTCCGGCTGGGTCACTACGAGTACACGAGAGACATAAAACAATTCAGATCTGGAATGACCTGGGCTGCAGAGAGAGAGAGATGGTCTACAACTGACATACATGAGTTTGTGGTTCACACATGGAAGTACGTCAAGTCTACAATAAAGGCAGCAAAAGAGAGATTTAAAGGGGACATTAAAGGAGAAGGAGGGAACAGAGTGAAGAAAACAAATGGGATTTAAGACAAGAATTTTAATTCAAATCAGGTTGATAATTAACATTTTCTTTGAAAAAACAAAAAAACCAGAGAGAGAACAATGGACAAAAAGAGACAATGTGGACCTTACAACAACAACTTAGACAAACCCAGTCTGTAATGAAGCTAAACAACTGGCTGAGCAGACTAGTCCAGTCCTGTCCTCTTCCCTCTCTCATTCTCCCTTCCGCAGCCTCCACGGGTCTATCTCATGCTCTTTTCCTACGATCACAGGGAGCATGTTACAGCAGCAGTAATAGCACATGACAAGGTGACCTGTGCCCCACACAGGATGGGCTAAACTGGGGGTGGAAAGGGTGGGGGGTCCCATGTCCCGTGTCCAACCCTATGGTCTCTGCACCACTCCCCCCCCCTGCCCAGGCCCCAGTGCTGGCCTGCGAGAGGGGAGAGAGAGGCAGTGACGGCAGCCTGCCCCCTTATGCTGGGCCCCTTGCTGGACTCTGGAGAGGGGAAAGAGACGACGCAGGGAGAGGCCCACTCAAACACACACCGAAAGTCCTGTTTATGTCTATGCCGCTTCTGACAGAGAATGCACATTCTCAAGCACGCAAAAGTCGTGCACGTCGACAGAAAACTAGACAGAACCAGACAGACAACAGACATATGGGTGAGGTGGGTGCAAATGCACTTAGCCCACAAGTAAAGGTTATATAAGCTTCATAAAATGCTGTCTCTTTACAGGAAATACTTGAGTTAAAAATATGTTGAAATATTAACAACTGGAATTTGAACTTTTGATGAAAAGTCAACTATTGATGTTTTTACAGATATAAAAAAAACTGTAACACACTGAAATAAATAAAGAAACGAACCTCCATAGAGCACTGACGTATATTACACATAATGAAAAACCTGTAATCTGATTTTACAGTGAAAAAGAAAAAAAGGAACCACCCTTGATATAGAGTGCTGAAATTTATTTTGCTTTCCAAGATATTTTTTCTGCATGACTTGCGCTCCATATACGACAAACATTACCTGTGTGATGTGTTTGGCCTAGAAACCATCAACCACAGGAGGTAATTGCGGACCCAAGGACATTAAGGGGGAAGTTAACACTTCATTAGTCCCAAAGGCAACTGAACATATGTGGCAAACAGCATGCATGCACAGAGTACATATACAAGAGGGTCTCTACAGTTAAGTACAGCAGCCCCTTCTTTCTATAGGGTTACATGTGAGAGGAAGCAACCAATTACTGTAGTCACGAAAGGGGGGAGGGGGCGGGGTATTTTTCACTGTACAGGAGACCTAATGGACTGTACCATCACCACTGCACACAGCTCCAAGAGTGACACGCTACAATCAATAAACGACACAAACCGAGTCCACTATGTGACTAATCATCACTCTTCTCCTTACAAAGAAATTGCAGATTGATTCAAAAGTCTCAAACATACTTGCTCCTCATTTGAGAGAACTCCTTCTAGCTATCCAAAATAACACAGGTTCTCGTAAATCCCCATCATATAAATCCAGAACATGTGTGACCGTTGATCTCAAGAAGTTGTTGAAGAGGAGAGACCCATTCATTTTTTCCTTCTTCTTCAAAACAGGCAATGCAGCAGCTGATACAAAAACAAAAATCCTAGCAGCTATATTTCAGGAGTCAAACTGTGTTATAAACAGAAATGGATAGGTGTGAGAATGACAGCAGAAAGAAAGCTTACTGGGAGGAATTACACTGTATGCCCCCATGCTGCTGGCTGTATTTGGTCCACGCAGATTTTATTTAAGTGTTTGAAAATTGAATTTCAGATCCAAAGAAAGACAAGAATCTAGTAGTGATAAATGATATCATTATTTGTCAGGTGCTTAGTTTTCTGTATCTATGAAATGAAATGTTAAGGTGTAAAAAAAAAATCACTATTAGAAATACTTTAACAACTGTGTGGGTGCGTGTCGATAAATGTTTTGCGGTTTCACACAGACAAACTGTAACTGTATGTTGTGTGACATCAGAGCTGAGTGTATTGTTTGAGATCAGCCGAGCCACTCACAAGTTTATCATGTTTCTAGTCACAACACAAAATGACACTTTTATTAACAATGTCTGCACAACAAGAATAATTCCTTTTATATATATATATATATATATATATATATATATATATATATAGAGAGAGAGAGAGAGAGAGAGAGAGAGAGAGAGAGAGAGAGAGAGAGAGAGAGAGAGAGAGAGAGAGAGAGAGAGAAATTATACTTTGTGGTTGTATGAAAGACTCTTTCAAATTGGGACAGGAAAAACACCCTACACTAAAATGAACATTAAAATTACCATTTTATATCCTGCAGACTTGATAACACAGCCCACATGTTCAGTCTTATTCCTTTGGTTTGAGCAGTGTCCCTGATTTAGGTTTCACCTTGACAGGTTCAACAAAGTTTCAAAACTACAACAATTCAGAAAACTACAAACGCTATGACTTTTAAGACACAGGTATGTGTGTTAAAAGACTGTGTCTTCTCCCCTCAGGTCGGAGGTACAGGCTGCCCAGGGCTAAGGAAGGCAAACAGATTTCAATTTTCATATGTTCCTCATGCAATTATGTTCTTAATCTTCTTTAAATCCTTGACTGCACTTTCAAGCAGAGCTATTGCACTTTATATTTATACCATTTGAGTTAAACTTCTTAACAAACAGTGAGTTTTTATATTTTATATGTCTTGGTTGTATTTCATCAGGTTGTGTTGCACTGTCCTTTGTCTGTTTATCTGTTGTGTTTTTGTGTCCACTGCTGCAAATCAAATTTCCCTTCCAGGGACAATAAAGATCAGAACTGAACTGTATTAGAGTTTTTAAGTTTACAATAGTCATAAAAATCTATGCATTGTTTGCTGCATTTAAAAGGAAGTATCTGTTGATATGATGTCCATGTACAATAAGAGTAAATACACTTCTAATAATCAGTGCAACGATTTCCAAGCAAATCACTGTAAAAATATGTAACTCCAGAGAAACACGAGTTACAGCTGTGTAACACGTGAGTGGACACTTTCAGTGTGTTTAAACAGAGGACTATCACTATACACGTGTGCACATCAAAGCAACAGGGGGAAATGTCTCACCTCAGTTTTACGCATGCCCTTGTACAAAAGCTTGAGCCTTGAAACCGTTCTTCTGTAATTTCCCCCCAAGTTGTTAGTCCTGTTCAATACAAAAGCAAAATGGCATGTCGCATTTAGAAGAGTGGGCCTATACTCTTAAGTAGGTAACCTGCTGTTACTCCGTTTATGTAACGCAGAAACACACACACACACACACACACACACACACACACACACACTTAATGGTAAACATCATATAGGTAGTTGGCAGTATCCAGGTAAACACTTGACACAGCAGCCTTGAATTGTGTTAAACATTTTTGCGCAACTCAATTTACAATAACCAGAGTCTAGATTTTAGCATTCCTCCTGTGCAATGCGAGTTTCATACCTCAGCTCAACTTTTCCCCATCAAGTCCGAGTTGCTTGTAAATCCTTTTCAGTCGCCGCCTCTCGTCTTCTTCATGCTCTTTGGAAGAGTGTCCCCTCCATGTTGGCTGGGTGGGCTTTGCTTTGAGGAAGAGAGGACTGTCGTTGAACTAAAACTCGTTGTAAATGTGAGGAGACTTGAGGAGGAGACGTCAAACTCGTACGCCCTTCTAGACGCTGGTTCACTATAGAGGAGGCGCTGGTAGTAGCTTAGCGTTAGCGTGGCTAGCTGCTCCTGCTTTAACCCTAAAACGCGGCACCAAGTTCAGCCCCGCATCACAAACCGTGTGGCCACTGTGGCTAAACAACGTCCAGCAGAAAGACGACTAAAGGCGACACTGTATATCATTGACGGGCAAAACGTACGCAGTAACATGAGGGGGAAACTCAAGCACACCTACGGTAGTCCGACGAGCAATACCCCTCCTTCTTCAGGACCCAAATAGATGGCCATTAGTTTTTGTTATGCACCGCCCCTCTTCAGTGCCGCTACGGGAAAGAGGGATTTTCCCCCCCAAGCCCCTCTGGTGACCAATCGCAGGTGGGCTCGGCGTGTATCCTGTGTTGTGGTTGGTGACATTTCGGCCTCTTCCGGCTCTGATTGGTCAGACCCGCTGCTCATTACCTTAGAGGGGCGGCCCTTTCAAACAGGGGTGTGTCGTGACGTCAGAGGTAACGAAGAGGTAAACAACTTTGACCGCGTGAGGTTTAAAGCAACATCGTATTGCCCCTGATCTCTGATTGTGATGGTACGCAATTAGGGGATAACGGTGCTGTCATTAGAAATGTTGTAGTGTCTCCTACGGAGCAGATCGTCCCGTTGAGGTCGTGTTTCTGTCATGTAGGCTACTGTCTTTGTTTTTCACTTTCAGACTTTGACCCTTAGCCTACATTTGAAATTTCAATGAGCCAAAAACACCATCGATATCACGCGGCTGAAAACACGACATGAGCGCCGTCTGGTCAAACATTTTCCATTTCGTGCATTTTGCTGCATGATTTCTTTGACACAATGTAAATGTGTCCAGTGTGGCGTGTGTGTGTGTGTGTGTGTGTGAGAGAGAGAGAGAGGGGTGTGTCTACTCTGCGGTACACTGGTAGGCTGGGAAGCAATTCCGCTGCATGGTGATCTTCCTATGCGCTTTGCAATGCATGAAAGATGGACGAGCAAGCTGAAAAAAAAAACGATTGAAAAACTCTAACTGCGTCATGCAGGGAAAATGTGGGTGTGCTCTCCTTAAAGTAAGAATCTTCCTTATTGTTGAACCTCTCAGGATAAATGGACATTCCCGGTGGTGTTCATGAGCTCTGGTATGTGGTGTAAATGGTGGTGTTTGTGTGTGTGTGTGACGGGGCCATGCGGAGGGGCTTAGGTGAAGGTCAGGGGTGTGTCTATAATGTAAACACGGTAAAAGCGACAGATACGAAGGGGGAGAAGGGAAAAGAGAGGAGGGCCCCATCCGGTCCCATATATCCTCTCTCAAGTCATCTTTCTCTACTCTTGTTGCTAAACAAAAGATAAAAACCAATGCCGTTAGAAAAGAGGATAAACTGTGAGCAATTTATTATGATACAACAGAAAATTACAACAGCCTAAATATGTCGATTTTATAAATACATTAAATATTGTAAACTGCAATTATTTTGTATTAGTTTTATCATTATATTTATGTATTCCAATCAATCTGTTTGTGTTAACTTGAAATTGTCTATTTCTATTATTTAATTGACGTGTTTAACGGGATTGACTTTTCCTTTTTCCTCTTCCTTTTTTCTGTTTATCAAATGTGCATTGTAAACTGTCATGAGCTCCTGTTTATCCCCTGTATAGAAGTAAAGTTACAGTGGGCTTTCTGTATCCCCTGCCAGCACCACACCTTGTCCAAAACAACGAGTATCGTACATATTTTACTCCTCTCATCAATAATCTGACATGATTCATATCTTTTTTTTACCCGCTCTGTTTCTAAGGAGCACTCAACAATTAGGGTCACACCGTAAAACCTTAACACACATACAAACTTCGACATCCAGTTCTGTATTATGTATGACACTCAAAAAATGTGCATAACCCGAGCCTTGCAGCACCTTAGAAATCTGTCACAAGCTTGTTGCAGTTGATTCATGTGTGGTAACTAGTAGTAAAGTGTGTGGGTGTTAGGTTCATGCTCATGGAGAGTTGATCCTTGTCCTGTGGCTTGGGCGGTCTCCAAGTCTGGCACCAGCACTGGATCAAGCCGTTCAGCGAACAGTGATTTGTTTGGCTCCACAACACCCATGTAAGACATGTATGCTGGCCCAGCCACTTTGTGTCCTCAGATGCTCTGGCCCTGCACACTGAGCTTGGCTTGCTGTTTGGAAAACAGAAGAATGGAAATCATAAATCAGAAACACTTGACCCACTAAAAGTAAGAGAATTAGTCTTTGCAGCACTGGTGCAGAGACATAAATAACTTGCATATTAACAGAGTGCATAATGGCATATGCCTTGAGGAGAGACTGATTTGACTTAAAGCTATATTGAAATGCAAAGGGACAGTGCAGGACAGGTAAACTCGTACATATACATGTACATAACTCGTAAAAATATACTTGCGATATAATGACTGCAGTTTCAGAGGAGATGCATTTAATTCAAAGCAGTATGTAAACCTTCAATTCTATACCCACCCCCCATCTCACAACTCTTTTTGGCATTCAACCTGAAGAAACCCCTTTACCAAATAGCATATCCAATGTACTGCTTACACTTCTCTTTTAGCACAAAGACTAATCTTGTTAAATTGGAAGGAAACCACTCCTCTAACTAAATTCTCAGAACTTAATGAATTTGGAGAAAATAAGATTTGCTGCATGAGTCTATTGGCAGATTAAAACAAATATGGCAGCCTTTATTTTCCTACTTGATTTACAGATTGTGAAGGGGATTCTTTTTTGGATGGCAACATATACTTTTTTGTTTATTCTATTACCTGCTGGGTATTAGTGCTATTTATTATATCATAGTTTGTTTAGTTTATGGGTTCTTTTCCAAAGTCTTATTTTTTTTCCCAATTTTGTCAAATATGTATATGTTGACTGCCATTTCACTGTTATGTTGCTTTGAAAAAATAAATATATGAACCGATTGTTAAAGTATATTGTGTCCATTATGTTATATTTAACAGTTAACTACTTAACCTCCAAGAAGCAAATACAAAAGTTAAAACCATCACGTGTCCAATAATTTCTTTAGTGGCCTGAGGACTGTCACAGTGCAACACAAACAAGCCATCATGTCTATGAGAACTCACTCTGTCCAGTCCTACGAGCTGAGCCCTCAGGTGTACAAACGCACTTAAAGCACCTGAAAGGGTCTCTGACAGGATGCTGAAATCAGAACTGATCAACTCGCAGATGTCCTTGTGGATACACTCAAGCGTTGCCTGCATCAGTGCTGTAGCATGCATTCATGTAGAGCCTCTGAAACCCAGGATATCCTGCCTGAGGGACTACCACCCTGTTCCATTTACGTCTGTCATCATGGGATGCTTCAGTCTGCTGGTCAAAAACCCACACAGAGAAGACTTACTTTCCCCCAAGCAATCTAGACAGTGTGCACTTTTTACATAGAACAAATAGATCATCTTAGGATCACATTAACCCCTGACTGTCCTTTCATTCTTGAGAGAATACTGCCGATTACAGCACAGCATTCACTTGAACTCTCCTCATCCTCAGGGACCACATCTATATGCAACTGAATCCCGGACTTGCTGACAGGCAGGGGACTGGTGGTTAAGATTGGCACTTCCTCCTTTCATTCTTAGCACTCCAGCCCATGCCAGTACTCCCTGATCACACATAACTGTGTGGCACAGCTCAGCAACCCTTTCATCAGTTTGAGAACAAAACCAAGGCTATCAGCTCTTGACAAGTTTTCATGAAGGAGGAAAAAAAAACTGATTGTGTAATGACTTTCATCTATAGTCTGATTTATGAAACATAAACAGTATGATTTGTTAATATTATTTCTTAATTCAGGCACATATACAAAGTAAGTAATACAAATTGTTATGTTTGACCCTCATTCTCATCAATATGCCATTAAGCTGAGAGAGTCAGCAGTTTCAGGTTCCTTTAGTTCAGCAGTACAGAGAAATGTCAACATGTAAATTCAGCATCATGGCTCCTTAGATCCTCTCTACCTTACACACAGAGAAGCAGCTGCATCACTGTTTGGTGTCCATGTTGCACCATCCAGGACTTTAAAGCTGTACAGCAGGTGGTGTGTACAGCATAGTTTCTCACAGGCAATAAACGACCATACCTCTGGGACATTTACTAAACACGAGACATTCGAAGGAGGCCCGCAGAAACATACAAGACCACACTCATTCCAAGCCACAGACTAGGCTGGCTTTAAACCTTCTGGAAAACATTACCAGAGTCCTATTTCCAGAGCTGACATGTTAAGGAAAGCTTCATCATGAATGCCATCAGACAGTTACATTTGTAAACAAAATTTCTGTCGTTCAAATGCTGCCTATAAAGTTTGAAGCGTACTGTTTTTATGACCAATTCCAAAACAACTACTTTGTTAAACCAGTGTAATGCTTAGACTGTTTGGTAATTTGGGAATCACTTTTGTAACGGTTCTGAAGTGAGGGGTAAAGCACAATTGTATTTTATTTATTTTTAATGCTGTGGTAATCCAGGAATAGTTTACTCAATTATCCTACTTGTTATTTAGCATGTAATAGTAGAGCACCCCTGTCAAAAAGGTGTATACGATGCCCTAAAATGTGGATACTCCAAAAAACTGCACAGAAATAAATTACTTTAGTGAATATACATTTCATTTTTTTGCTTAACAATGTTACAATAACTTCAAAATAAAGTGTATAATAACATGTTTTTCTTCTCTAACCAGTTCAAGATATTCTATTTTATTAAATGAAGCTATACATGCAGAGATCATTTTAATGTATTAGTAAAGTGTCAGCTCCAGAGTTTCTAATCAGATAAGTTTATAATTTCATTGTCTTTTAAGTTTTTTATCGCAGCAAATCCTGAGCATTGTGGGAATTCCTGTGATTTCTGTGTGTAATGCATAAACCTGCCTACAACAGGGACATTAGCTCAACCACAAACACAAATCTCCTCCATGGAAGAGGTGGTGGAAAAATGTATTTATGTTTTCTTTATTAGACACTATTTTTTTTTATCTCGTGGCCTTTTTTAAAGTTAAGTTTATTTTCAAATATTTATACAATAGTAAGCTGCATACGAATCTAAAAAATGTAAAGTGGGAAGATGCTTACACTAAAAATAATATTTACCAAGTTCTAAATAAAAATGTTGCTGGAAAAAAACTATATGTCTATAAACTCGTCAAAAATATACACTACACTACACTACACTACACTACACTATAGCCTATATGAAACACATCAGTTGTAAACTTTATTTTGAAAACAA